AGGTAGGAGGTCCTTCGAAAGAAGACGCAAAAAGCTCATATTTCACAGCGAGTGTGGAATACAGAGCATGTACGAAAAATTAAGACCAGGCGTGGGAAGCCACAAGGGGGGCCACCTACCGGTGCTATTCCACAGGTTGTCGAAGAGTACCTAAGACAGGCGGGATTCATACATGTTGCCAGGATGCAACATATCCAGGTATGTTATTTACGTCGTTTTGTATTTATGTAATTATTCAATAAAATTCATTAACACGTGATAACTGCGTAATTTATCATAGATCGATACATTTTTAATTAGTGCTCTGGTCGAGAGGTGGAGACCAGAGACACATACCTTTCACATGACCCAAGGTGAGATGACGATCACCTTACAAGATGTGGCAGGCATATTGGGCTTGCCGACTGACGACATTGTCATCACCGGATCGATCTCCGAAGATTGGCACGCTGCTTGTGCTGCTGTTTTTGGACATGTTCCAGAGGCCGGTGAGTTCCATCATTCCGGCGACCTCCGCATCTCATTCTTGGATCGGCATTATACCCGGTGGACTGATCATGAGGGGAATCACGCTGCCGAGATCTACTTCATAAAAGCCCACATTGCCCGGATGTTGGGGACTTGGTTGCTGGCGGACAAGTCTGGAGGTAGAAATTATGGTTGCCGGCTTGTCCCGTTGCTAGGTGGGGGATTTGAGGACATTGGCCGATTCAGCTGGGGATCTGCGGTTTTGACACACTTGTTCAGGAATTTGTGTGAATTGACAGATGCCCGTCGAACTGACATGGGTGGTTGCCATATTCTCCTTCAAATTTGGGCATGGATACGATTCCCACCCATTGCTCCACCCCTTCCTCCTCATCCAGAGCCGGGCACACATTATGGATGCCGGTATGATTTATTTACTTCATTTGATTTCGATAATGTATGGTTGATAATGTATATACTAATTGTATACTTTTTGATTATGGTTGATAATGAATGTTTCTGATTGACAGGTTTAATACTGTAGAAAAATTTAAACCTCATGAGGTCATTCATTATCGGGCAACATTGGACACACTCTGTAGAGATGAGGTTAGGTGTTGGATACTTACGATGTTGTTATTTCTCTATGGGTTTATTTTTTTTGTAACTCTATATATTGTTTCGCTTTTTTTTGTAGGTGGTTTGACAGCCATATATCGATTATGAGTGGCTTGACGTGACTCTAGAGCAGCAGTACCTGTGGCTTGCTGCCACACCTATTATCTACTTCCACACAGTAGAGGCATGTCAACCGGATAGGTGCATGCGACAATTCGGTCTTGATCAACCCATCCCGGATAAATCTAGAAAGTTGAGAGGAATACATGATCATACTCTACGGGGGAAGGTTGAAGAGAACTGGAGACATAAGCTGAGGGCTCACATTGATCGATGGAATACCAGGATTTAACATATTGTACTGCCACCTCCATTATATGGTTTGATATCACCTAATCATGCGTACATGGAGTGGTTTAGAGAGAGGGGAAAGTGCTACATATCTCGGAGGGCAGCAAAGATAGGCCGCATGGTGAGTTTTGTACATATTTTACATTTGTTTCACATTTCTAACATGTTTTCGTAATATGCAGATTGACAGTCTTGAAATGCTTTATCATGCAACAACGGCGAAGGAGTTTACTCGATTTGGCCTAGAGTATATCCACGAGGAGATTGGCCGGATTATTGGAATATTTAGCGAGAGTTCTCGAGTTGATGAGCCTGGACCTGAGGCACCCCCCGTGCAGACACAGCCTGATCCTCAGTTGATTGTGGATGTTCCTCGTAATAAACGGGAGGGACGCGGATTAGGACGTAGACGTGAGAGAGTTGCTGTTTAGCCTGTCCCGATTATGGCACCGAGACCAGTGGTCGAGACTCAGGGATGGTTCAGACCTGCAGTCATTGGTCCTACTTACGGGTCACAGCCGATTTATCATCACGGATCGCAGTATGCGGCAGGTCCTAGTCAGGCGGCGTCTGAGCATCCTTACATGAATGGACAGGAGCCAGTTTTCCAGGCGAGTCTGATGGCTATGGCAGGAGCGGATCCGGCATCCTCGCAGCCTGATTTCCAGCCATATTCACAGGGACTTGATGCCGATTACCCCTTTTGGTCTGCAGAGGACTCGATTGAGTTGTATCGCTCTGTAGGCCTGGTTACAGAGAGCCATGACAATGGGGAGACTCTAGCCACAGATTCTCATAGTCAGGGACACACCCCTTTTGATGTGCCAGGCAGTAGTGCAGGACCATCAGATGATTTCATTCGTGCGGCGATGGATGACTTCCACACTCCACCACCACAGGCACATGCACAGGTGCATCAGGGAAACCCATTCTGGGACAGACGGATACTGCCAGATAGGGATGCACGACATAGGCCATGGCCACCGTGGTCGTAGTTTCATTGCCATTTGGAGTATTCACGATGTTGTGGACTGTTTCATATTGTTATTATTTTGTTATTTTGTATTAGTTATGATTGTAGCATGTTGTTATTTTGTGGACGCTACATTATTATATTATTTAGACTATTCACTATTCTTTATTATTTATGTTTTGTTTGTCGTTCTTTGTGCATTCATGTTACAGTAGCTAATAGCATCAGTTACTTAATAATACAAGAATAAAAACATACATCAACGGAACGTAAAAAGTCCGCCATAACGGACATTACAATTCATACAATAACATAACCAACAGCAAAATAATGACATAATATGTATCTCAATCTTTTCTCCCATGACTTGGACATCGCCGACGATTATGGCCGCATTGTATGCACGAACGTGGTGGCCTGTTGCATCTACCTGGTTCTTCTTGACCAATTCAACAACAACTTTGGAGTGACGATGAGCTGATTGAAGTTGTGCAACAGCATTTGTTCCTCTCTCAACAAAATATGCAACCAATCTACTATATGTATGCTTAATCAATGCTATTATAGACATATTTCTGGCCCCCTTCAAAACCCTATTGACAGATTCAGCCAAATTTGTTGTCATATGACCGTACCTCCGTCCTTCAATATCGTAGGCGCGCGACCACTTTTCCTTAGGAATCACATCAATCCACTCAGCAATTTGAGGACTACTTTCACGGAAACTCGCAAGATTCCTTTCAAAATCAACCATTGCTGGAGTATAACCTGCACAAATTGGACATGAACGAATTAAACATAAATTCACAGTCATAATGGAAAGAAATAATTACGCATCGTGTCAATGAGTATACCTAAATTCTTTAACATCCGCTTCAAATCTTCATTCCGAAACTTTTGATTGAAATTACTTGCAATATGACGAATACAGAAGACGTGATATGCATTTGGCAGCTTCCAATTAGGGTTATTTTCCACAGCAGATATTATGCTTCGATGCCGATCGGATATCAAACATATGTTTGACATGGTAGTAACATGAGCACGAATATTAACGAGAAAATAATCTCATGCTTCCAAAGTTTTGCCTTCTACAATGGAAAAAACGATCGATAAACATTCATTATTACCATCTTGGGCTGTGGCCACCAACAATTTCCCTTTGTACTTCCCATATAAATGTGTTCCATCAATTTGTATGACGAGTTTGGCAAATTTGAACGCCTCACAACACTGTCTAAACGTCCAAAAAATGCGATGAAAAACCTTTTTTCCAGAAACTAAGCTCTGCTCCGCATAAAGATCATTTGTTTGTATATGATAAAATGAACCTGGAGAAAAGCGAAGCATGTATTCGCACCACCTTGGCAAAAAAGCATACGATTCCTCCCAATCACCGTACATAATTGCCATCGCTTTCTGCTTCGCATACCACGCCTTTCTGTAGGAAACTTGAAAGCCATATTTAGCATTTATCCTTTCTTGCACCAAAGAGATTGACACAGATGGTTCTGACTTTATCATCCCTGCATTGAAGAGGATATCAGTGCCTCGATAACATCGAACGAATTTAATTGCACGGCAGTACGTAAACATTGACATGTCAATACGGTAAATAAATACGTACTTATGACGAGATCTACAATAACGTCCGCATCGAGCTGTCTATGACCTTGGGAAATGTGCTCATTCACACATTCGTGTTTTCCACCCCATCTCGTAATCTTCCAATTTTCACAAAACACCGGTTTGATCGCCCTTACGCGCCACAGACAACCTTGATCATACGCACAACATTTCATGGACAACTTTGCAGGCGTGCTCTCAATTACAATGGCTTCTTGATGCTCCCTAATGAGGTTGTGCTTAAGTGCCATTTGAACATCTTTTTTTGTTGCAAATTCTTGATTGACAAATAACATGTCACCCAGTTGCCACGGACCTTGTATTGAAGCCGATCCAGAGACCGAACCATCAGTACATGATTCTTGTTCGCTCTGATAACTCCAATCAATGTAGGAATAATGCGGAATTCCTTCCCAAAAAGGAATAACATCTGTGTCACCTGCAATTGCGGATTATAGTTTTTTAATACAAACTTACTAATTCAGGTATTAAATCAGTTATCTATTCAGCTATATACAAATGGGATCAATTACCTTCATGGTGAATACCGAACGGGGTAGACGCAATGTCATTCAACTGCGGCATTTGCGCGACGACTGGTTGATGGAATATTGGGATTTGAGACGCACCCATCTCACGGGATTCATCTCCTTCTGAAGCACTAGCATCCTCCGCCAGAAGACGTTCTTCCATTGCCATATTTTCATCGTCGTTATCGTCATCTTCGTCGTGCATTTCCCAAGTCGGATCATTTTCATCTCCCTTAGAAAAGTTACCAACTGGAGACGCATGAGCAGCAGGAGAAGCTGGAAGACGGGGAGAATTTAAATAAACTGACCTCACCGGTAAGGGAGCATTCTCGGTTGCGGCGATGTCGACATACAACTCTAGAAATCTGTCCTTGACTGGTTGCAAAATTCTTCCATTGTTATCTCCAAGTCTTCATCGTCAAGCACTTTCAAACTAATGTATTTATCACCTTGCCACACCCTTGTTGTGATCTCAATGATACATTGGTTGTCTGGAAGACTTAATTTCTGCCGAATTCTCTGATGCAGTTCGCCAATGGTTGTGTTGCGTTGGATACGTGTCGGCCTTTTTTCACCTTCGAAGATGACACCTCGTCGACCTTCTACCTTCCTACCATTGTAATATAACACAACACGAACAAAATCAGGATTTGAGCTCATTTTTAAATAGAATAAGAAATAAAATTCAAATACTAAATTAAAGATAAAGGAATGTTGGTGGAGAAGAGAGATATGAACAGTGAGAGAAGAGTATGAATTGAATGGAGGGGGTGGGAAAATATATAGAGCACACATGTGAAGCCACTTTTGGGCGTCACATGTGAGCCCAAAAATGGCGTCACATTGTGCAGTAGATGTGTAATTTTTTACAAAACAATATTAAATGCATAATTATTTAATTTAAATGCATTATTTTAATTTTTTTGGGAGATAAAAGTTTTTGAATCCCCCAATGCAATAATTGTCTTCCAATGCTTGAAAAATAGTACAGCACGTTAATTTTTAATGTTTCATCATAAAATTAAAATTTTGAAGGGCGAAGGAATGTGATCCTAATCCTAACTATTTTCATATTATTATCAATTTCAATTTCAGCAAGTGAAACTTTGTCGTTGATCATTAAATATCATAAAATTTATTTCTCAGTTCCTTAAATGTGTTTTATAGTACACATTAAGGCTATTTATTGCAATTGATTTACAGCACACGTTATTTGATTTATTGCACTTGGTTAGCGCTATGAATAGACCTTTCTCTCTGCCCATACATGTGTAGTACTGTTTTAATGTAAAAGAGAGTACCGGTACTCGCACATTGTACTACCATCACAATTGGAATTGGAACTCAATAGTTATTCAAGTACAAGTGTACAACCCCGTTTTTTTTTGTTGCTTAAAAAAGGAGCTTTTACATTTTGTGTACTGCATAATTCTTATGCTTTACGGAATCAATTCCACTGAGAGGGGACAGCGTTTGATGAATGACAAAGCCCACTTTTACATTATTGCATGCAAAAACATTTCGCCAACCTATTTCTTTTCTCTTTAATTTTCTGAACGGGATTTAAGTTGATTGAGAATAGAATATCAAAAGTTTCCATTACTAAAAAAAAGTAAAAGGAGATAGATACTTTTATTTTAACACAAATTAGAAATTAAAAAAAAAAAGAATAGTAAGATTTATACACAACATGACATGTATCATTAAAAACAGTATTGAAGTTAAACCGCTTTTGGAATTTTGGTGCAAAATGTTTGAAGAATGTCGTCACTCGGTATCAAACCTATTACCAATAGAGTACTAAATTAATGGATTACTAGTTTATTTACCCATTTTCTTCTTGAATTTATATAAAGATATGTAATAATTAATAAATATATAAAAGCAATTAAATTGTACCCAATCATTGACAAATTCATTGATTGAACCTTCAATTCCGGTTCAACCGGTCAGATTAGTTGGGTCGGCCGATTTTAATAATTCTTCCTAATACTATTGGGTGTATGGTAATAACACAAACCACTAGGCTAAAGCACTTATAATATAGCTTTTATTTTATTTATTCTCTAATCACCGGATATAAAGTTATCTTCAGTGAGCAAAATGACGTCATTTTGAGGTTATAAGATTAAAATTTTATAATGATAAAAATTAATATAACTATGCAATATATTAGAATTACAAAAATATTTTGATTTCTGCCCAAAACGACATCGTTTTGGGCTCACCGGAGATAACTTATCTCTATTGACTAGAGAAATTCTGTACCCTTTATTTATTATATATTTTTTACAGAAAAATATTTCTGCAGTTAATGTAGATAAATTATCTGCATTTACTTTCAAAACGACGTCATTTTGGGATTGAAAGATTAGAAAATTATAATTATACAATAACCCAGAAATAAATTAAAATTACAAAAATACCATGATTTTTGCCTCAAAACAACGTTGTATTGGGCTTACTCTAGATAACTTATCTGCAGTAAGCCAGTAACTGCAGAAACAACGAATCCTATTTTTTCTTGGAAAAGTATTTTTCTTGTCACTACCGGAGATAAAGTTATCTTCAGTGAGCTTAAAATGACGTCGTTTTGAAGTTATAAGATTAAAATATTATAATGATAAAGACTAATATAATCCTACAATATATTAAAATTACAAAAATACCTTGATTTCTGTCTCAAAACGACGTCGTTTTGTGCTCACCGGAGATAACTTATCTCCATTTACTGGAAAAATCCTTTACCCATTTTTTATATTGAGAAATTATTTTCTTATTTTACATGAAAGAGTTATCTAAGGGAGCAAATCAAAGCAGTGGTAAAATTGTTCCTTCATGACTGAAAAGTCATGGAGGAGTATTTTATTTTATTTTTTACATGAAAGTGTTATCTCATGCTCTTCTCATATCAAAAATTATGTCACTAATTTTTTTTAAGGGAAAAAGTTTCTGATGTTACCTTAGATAACTTTATCTAATGTTCATCGAAACGACGTCTTTTTAGGGTTGAAAAATTAAAAAATTAAAGTGATAAAGACTATTAAACCCTGAAATAAATTAAAATTACAAAATACCATGATTTCCGTCCCAAAACGACGTCGTTTTGATGAACATTAGATAAAGTTATCTAAAGTAACATCGGAAAAAACAAACCCTTTTTTTTAATGAGTGATGGGTCCGAGTATATTATATGGGTTCGCTTTTTCTGCAGTTACTGCAGATAACTTATCTACAATAAGCTCAATACGACGTCGTTTTGGGCAAAAATCATTGTATTTTTGTAATTTTAATTTATTTCAGGGTTGTAATAGTCTTTATATTTATAATTTTTTAAGATTTTAATATCAAAATGACGTCGTTTTGGAAATAAATACAGATAACTTATCTGCATTAACTGCAGAATTTTTTTTCCCATATTATATATATATATATAATAAGAGATAAATATTTTCATAAGAAAATAGAACCCGTTTCCTATATAGTCTGTGCCAACGGTTCAATTAGTGATTGACTCACTGATAAACCGATAACTAATAAATTCGGTATCTTAACCGAATCCATAACCTCCCTCCGACTTTAACAACGTTGCTTAAAATAGAAGCAAATGTCCTAAATGAAACGTTTGAAGATTGAACATAATTAGAGGAGATTCCCGTTAAAACCATAAAACAAAAGGAATTATAATTAAATAAAGTTGATGGCATTTAGGTTACGTTGGTTATCCGTTATGTGAAGAGCATTCCATTATCTCTGAAAAAGTTGTTGACACTTTGGTTGGGGAATCCTTCTCTTTGTGTCGTTCCTTGCACCACACCAATTCTGATTCTGAGGGGTTTTGGTGGGTATAAATACACCACTCCCTTCAACTCAACACTCCATTCCATCACCACCCAATTTTTTAATATCTTGTTCCATTTTGGTTCACTTTCTTTCATACCCATAACCATGTCTTCTCAGGTACTGAATCCATTTCCTGCTTCTTTTCTGGGTTTTTGATCTTTAGTTTTCTTGTGCTTGATCATTGTGATTCTGGGTCCTTTGTTTATTTATTTATATTTATTTTGGAGGGGATAGGTGTTTGTTTGATCTATAATTATTTTTGAATTTATTTTCTTGTCTTGGTTCTTTGTTCCAGATGTTTTTGCTGAAGTTGACTTGTTTCTTAGTTGAGATATTATGATTTGTTGGCTCTGATTTAATAGTTTTCAGGATTGAGTATTCAGGGTGATTTTGTTGCTATATTTACGTAAAGCTGGGATCTTTTGTTTGAAGTATGATTCCCAGAAAATTTTATTCTAACAAAAATAGGATTTCAGTTTTTTTTTTTTTTTTTGGAACCCTTAAAATGATCATGAATTGTAAAGTATTAGTTATTCTTGAGTTTGAATTAGCTTAGGATTTGCTCATAATGATTATTCTAAGAAGTAGCAGAAGATCAGGACTGGCTTTCAGTTCTGAAGGGTTAAAAACTAAAGTGCTTTTAGTTGCTTGTACATATGCTTTCGTTTTCATCAACCATCCCTTACTCTATCAACGGTTACAGAGCTTGCCCTGAACGGTTGTTTTGTTGCTAACATATCTGATATTCTGTTATATCTTTTCTATGCTTTTTCTTCAACGTTATTGCTTGCAAACAAATTAATTACTAGAACTTCAAATCTAATACTAAGAAAGTGAGAATGGTTGGTCCTCTCTTTTTGGTTAGAAAACTTTAGATTATGGTTGCAATGCACTTGTATTAAAAGCTGTGGTTTTGTTTTTCATTTAGTTTGTGGAAGTAGCCTTCAATTGGTACTTACACAGTTACACTCTTTAAATATTACTGCACATGGGTAGTTACTTTTGTTTATATCTGGACCTACAAAATCTTAAAGTTGTGCTATTTGATAGTTGATTAATCTCTTGTTACTACCTATATGTCAGATGCCCTGCTCTGTGCTCTTGCTCTACATTGTCCCTTTCTTTCTCTTTTAAATTGATTCTAGTTCCTATTAAGTTCAAGTGTGAACGTGTTTCTTTTGTATGAGGGTGTTGGGGTTAAGATGATTATTTATGCTCTGCTTTATTAGTCTGAAAATTGTCTCTGTACTATCGCAGACTGTTGTCCTCAAAGTTGGGATGTCTTGTCAAGGATGTGTTGGAGCAGTGAACAGGGTTTTGGGAAAAATGGAAGGTATGTTTTATTCCTAGAGCAGACTCTGTCTAATATATGATCTAAGATGAAAGTGGTTTAGTAATTGTAACTATGCAATATCTTACACATTGATGTTATTGCCTTGCTTTCTGTTAATTTTCAGTAAATATATGCTGTATGATTCACATTCTAGTTACCAAAAGTTTTTGGTTTTGAATGTGTGTCAGCTGTTTCCTTAATGCTGATATTTTTTGCTATTCATTTCGTTTTTAAAATGTTTTAATCTGTGTGTTCCTTAGGTCATGTGTGCAAGAACTTTCAATGGCATTTGTAACAACAGCTGAAAGTTCTTGTTAATGATATTCTGTGTTTCTTGCACTTTCCTGTTGAGCTGTGATTGTTGTATAATTATGGGGTGTCTGTTCATAAATAACTCTTGGATTAGACTAGTGATGAGGGGTTTGAATAGTTTGCATGAGGTCATAGATTTAAACCTCATAATATCCAAAAAAACAATTGTATCCAAAATACAAAAAAAAAAATAAAAAAAATACTCTTGTACATCAAGAATAATATCCTGCACAAGTTGTTACTACTTACTAGAATGTAGAGTTTGATGTGTCTTGTACATAGGGCCATTGAAAGCCTTCCTTAGGTGACGAATGACCTATTGTATCCTGTGTTCAACACTTGACTTTGTGTCAACATATCCATGATCTTGTGTTGGATATCATGAATAAGCACTAGGACTCGAATTGATTTTCTTGAATTTGTCTTATTATTTGCATGTATGTGCAAGTGATAAGTTTCTTATCTGTATTTCATTATCTAATTTGATCATTTCCTTCAGATTTGAGTCATGTTTGAAGGATTTTCAAAAGCTTTCAATTTTAGTTAGTATTGTGTGACACAACCAAGGTGATGGAAATAAGTTTTTTGTACTCATATTGCAATGTAAGTGTGAAGACATCTGAAACAACATATATGAACTTCCTAATTTCTGACATTGAGCATGTCATTTAAACATTTCCCGGAGAAGAGATGGGCATTAAAAAATGTTAAACCAGTATCTACTCTAGCCATTTTAAGAGTTATTATGCTATCCTCCCTATCCTCATAATTTTGCTTTTGAAATTGGCATTGGAACTTCTTCTTAAGGTCCTTAGATATGAAGCATTTTTTTCTGTTGTGCTTTGCTAGGATGCAATCTGAGGCTATATGATATTGTGGGTCAAAAAGTTTCTTATTTCCTCAACGGTTATGGAATTCAAAATAATAGCTGAAAATATAACGAAATTCTTCAAGTTTCAATGTTAATTTGCTTCAATAGTTTTGGTTTTTGTTTACTTGGTAAAAGAATATGATGGAACAAAACAGGCTGCGTCAAATCTTAACAATGATTGCAGTTCCTGCTAGAAAACCCTATACCAAGTAAATTTCCTGCTATCGTGAATCAAAATAACAGTGCTAATATCTATAGGTGTGGAATCATTTGACATTGATTTGAAGGAACAAAAGGTGACAGTGAAAGGAAATGTTCAGCCAGAGGAAGTTCTGCAAACCGTTTCCAAAACTGGGAAGAAGACTTCCTTCTGGGAGGGTGAAGCACCAATAGCACCAGCTGAGCCTGAAATCAAGCCTTCAGAAACTGCCACTGTTGCCTCTGCTGAGCCTGAAAACAAGCCTGCAGAAACTGCCACTGTTCCTTCAGCTGAGCCTGAAAACAAGCCTTCAGAAACTACTACTACTGCCTAAGAAGACACTTGTGGTTTTATTTCTATGTTAAGTGGGTCTGTTACAAATACTATTTTGATGAACTTTGTGCATGTCATCTGATATATTTGATGTGCTGGTATCTAAGCTACAATAACTTGTGGCCCATTTTTCTCATGTGCTTAAAGTTTAGAATTTAACTTGTTATTGTACCTTGTTATTGTACGCCGATTTTTCACGTGCACTCCCTATGCCCTTTACATTTCTAATTCGTTAGGTTTGTGAGAAAAATACCTATTTCCCAAAAAAATACACAAGTTTTTGTGGAGCTCCTTCAATTGTGGTGGTATCTATTTTAGAGTGGAGACAAAACTTGAGCTACTCCATTTTGTTTCACTCCACTAACTCAAGGCACGCCTCACCAACACTGCACGTTGCAACTTCGCTCACTCACTAACAGTAAACGTATTTTGGCATCTTGCTCACCTACATTGCACCCACCACAATGTTCACTTTCATCACTCACATTTACACACCACCACAACATTTTAATGCACACACAAGACCACTATAAATAACCATATAGTGAATTCCATTGGATCCGGAAATACATTGAAATAATCATTTTGAGTATTCCAATATCAATAGGTTGGTTGTTCTGCTCTTGTATCTTCCAAAAGGAAAAAAGTTTTGTGAGAACTCTTTTGGAAAGTACTCGGATTCTCCCAATAACTAAAAAATATATCATGCTTGAATTTAAATAGAGGTCCGGACTCAATATCAAGAGGGTTTTTAATTGTAAGATATCTAATAAATCTGTCACTGAAATTGAGATATCAAGATATCAAATATTTGAAGTGTCTATTTGGATATTATATGAATGATGTGCAGGACCATGATTTGGAATTGTTTGATCCTCTTTCTCCGAGGAAGCGGTGCATCAAACATTTATTTTATAGGAGAGTTGTTTTCTCCTATTGGTGAATTTTGATTTTTGTGCAGAATTTTTTTTTTTTAATAAATGTGGGTCATTGTTTTTTTAATAGATACGGGCTTCACACAAGATATGTCTATAACATGACATTTTCTATGCATGAGAAAATTGAAACCCTTATTTTAAACTACATTAAGATTTAAACAAAAAATAATATAACATAAGTTTGCCCTCCTCCATTCTTATTATTATTTATGTATGGAGAAAATATAGAGGAATTTTGCTCTCCTCTCATAAAATATTCTGCCTCTCGCATAGTCACCAATTCAGAAAAGTGAATTTCAATGAACAATTACAGCATAAACATTCTCAATCTTGACCTGCTACGATTACATTGAATGAATCTTTCATTATTTGCATCTTGGTTTATGTAACGCCCCGTTCTAGAACCGGTTTGTTAACATCGCATTATGATATTAAGCGCAGTTACAATCACATGGGTTCAATTAAAACCCGGATAAATTTTTCATTTTAAAACGTACCGAACTTATAATACCCAATTTCGTGATCATAACCATATTACCTTGCGGAAACAGATAAATTAAGCTTAACATCATGTTCATTTTCCATTTTTAAACCATTAATTTACTTCTTGTTTAGTTCAAAACTTCTACTATATTGTAGGTTTCTTCATTAGCTACCCGTGGCTTCAAACCGTGCTCAAATCGGAGCACTGTAGCCCAAGTTAGGACAATTTGAAGCAACACAAGAGAGTGTTGGTCACAGGCCCCGCGCGCTTCAGCGCGCTACTGGGCGCTCAAGCGCGCTCTATCGGGCGCTAAAGCCTCCATCTGGGCGCTTAAGCGCACGGAGACAGGAAGCATCAGGTATTTCAGTGTGAATGGGCGCTTAAGCGCGCATCAGGGCGCTCAAGCGCGCTATCCTGGGCGCTTAAGCTCCCATTGGGACGTTTTAGCGCGCAGAGACAGAAGCATCTCCTCCTACAGTGGCTAAGGGCGCTTAAGCGCGGACCAGGGCGCTCAAGCGCGCAACCCTGGGCGCTTAAGCCCCACACTGGGCGCTAAAACACGAGGGGACAGTAAGCATCCCATCTTTCTGCAGCGAAGGGCGCTTAAGTGCGAGCCAGGGCGCTCCAGCGCGCTATCCTGGGCGCTTAAGCCCCCACTTGGGCGCTCCAGCGCGAGGAGGCCGAATGCATTGGCACTCACAGGGGCAGCAAGGCGCTTGGGCGCGCTCCTGGGCGCTTAAGCGCGCTGCCAGGGAATTCCAATTCCCACATTTCTCAAGTCCAAGCCTAGGGAAAGATGTATCCCCATTACAAACCCCAATTGTCCATGCCCCAATACTAAATCCTAGCACTCATCCAACCTCTCCTCATGAGATTTAGCTAGAATTTGGGCAGCATGACCTTTGTTTTCTCAGCGTTTCCCAAATTTAAACAAAAGGTACCTAATTGATTCTCAGCCCAACCAATTCAACAACTCAATACATAACAAGCATGCATATATTGAATTTCAAGTAGGCATCATTTACATTACATATCCTTTACAAATCATAGAACTTAGCTTACAAAACACTATGATCATTCCCTTGGCTCCCATCAACCAAAGGTGTAACCAAAGGCATGAGCATAGGCTAAGTTCATCCAATGAATCAAGATATACAAATGACCATGGGCTTTCAGAATAAAATCCTATACATGTCAACTACAAAAGGCATGCATAAACTCAAAGAAATGCCATATTTCATGCATAATCCAGATATGGCCACTTGCCACCAGAGGCTCCTGCAGCATCCTTACCTCAAAGGGGGTCCCCACAACACGGGGTGAGATATACGAATATATCCAGTAAACCAGGGGTCCTTGGAGCATCTCTCCACCCCACAGTTCCATATCAGTGTAATAGCAATAACAATAATAATGCAGTAAATACATATCTATGCAAAGTGCTATACATCTCCAGGAGAAATCCCTCGAGCTCTCAAGCTGTCCTAAGGAAACTCAGATGCAAATAGTCCTACTGGCCAGCTAACTACCAAGTATGATTTACGCATCGTCATGCAACATACCACATAGGGAAACACCATCCTATGCCACACCAAATGCATACACATACGTATAACAAAGCATTACACTATTTTATTGCATTTATATACACAATCACAACCTCTACCCTTTCAGGGCTTGGTAGAACAGTCAAGGGAATTACACCCAAGGTCCGAAGGCTTACCTCAATGCTTCAGTCGACCTTTGTTCTTCACCAATGTCAACAATACTCTACTCCAAAACCAACACCTACACATGGTGTAATGCAATCAACACATTGCATCCAAGAGTATTTCACAATCAACCATCAATTCAAAACACAACTCAAGTATGAGCTTACCAATTCCAATGAGCTATTCAAGCTCCATAGCTTGCTCCAATGGTTGATCACTCACGGTTGGTCCAAATGTCTCAATCCTAGACATCACAAGGATCCAATCAATCATTCAACTCACTAATTGTTCAACATGCTAGAATACTAACCAATCCAAGCATGAATTTTCCAATATTATGAACAATTATCAAATGACTATCTAGGCTCATTTCCACCGATTAAATGACATTCCTAGCATTTTTCATAACATGCTCTAAGCTCCATTCTTCCTAGAACATAGCTAATTCAACCACATTTCATAAAAATCCCAATTTACTATTCACAAACCCTAACTCATGCAAATTTCAAGGAATCATGAGGCTCAAGGGTTAGAATCTTACCACCAATGGTCACACAACCAAGCAAGGAGTGTTCCTCAAGCTCCCATGGAGGTTGAACTTCCCAAAACCCCAAAATCTCTCCAATGGCTGAATTTTTGAGAGGCAATATCCCTCTCCACAATGCTCCCCACTCAAAACAAAGCAAGGATTATGAAAGAGGAGGAGATTTGGAGTGGTTTAGGCTTTTGAACGGAATATTATTCTAGGAATATTACTATTTTTATTTTTATATTTTGGGTACTTTTGCCAGTACCCATTTCTACCCCTTAATTTTCACTGAGTACACTTTTTAACTCCAAAGTGACTCAGATTCATTTAATTAAGCCTTATACTTAATTTCACTCACTAAAACATGTTTAATTAATTAATTACACTTGATTTACTAATTAATTAAGATGGGCTATTATAGTCACCCCACCTTTCAGCGATTTTGTCCGCAAAATCAAGAACGTACCTGTCCTTAAACTCAGGATACTGCCGGAGAAGCTCATCTTCCCGCTCCCAAGTGGACTCTTCAGGCGTCCTTCCTTCCCACTGGACTTTCACCATAGGAATAGATTTATTTCTCAGCTTCTTCTCATCTCTTTCGAGTATCTTCAGTGGCCCAATAGGAGTCTTCAAATTCTCCCGGATTTCAACATTATCAGGTTGAACCACATGAGAAGGATCAGCTACATATTTCCTCAGCTGAGAAACATGAAACACATCATGCAAATTTGCCAATTGCGGAGGTAAGGCAAGCTGGTATGCAACCTGTCCCACCCTACGGAGAATCTGGTAGGGTCCAATAAATCTCGGACTCAGCTTCCTCACTCCAAGGGCTCGTCCCACACCCGTAACCGGTGACAGCTTCAGGAACATATGATCTCCCTCCTCAAACTCTAGAGGCCGATGCTTGAGATCATAATAACTTTTCTGATGATCCTGAGCCTTTTTCAGACGATCCTTAATCATTTTAATCTGCTCAGTAGTCTCCTGAACAAAATCCAATCCAAACCGCTCTGTGTCTCCAACCTCTGACCAACAGGTAGGTGTCCTACACCTGTGACCATACAAGGCCTCGTAGGGAGCCATACCCAGACTAGCATGAAAACTGTTATTATATGAAAACTCAACCAGCGGGAGATATCGATCCCATGCAGTACCCTGCTCCAGGGTGCAAGCCCTCAGCATATCCTCCAACGTCTGAATGGTCCTCTCAGTCTGACCATCCGTCTGTGGGTGATAAGCAGTGCTCAGTCTCAACTGAGTGCCAAGAGCCTCCTGCAATGCTCCCCAGAAGCGAGAAGTGAACTTCGGGTCCCGATCACTAACAATGCTCTCAGGCACCCCATGAAGCCTCACAATCTCCTTCACATAGAGCCTAGCCAATCTCTCCGCAGAGAAATCTACCCGAACTGGCAAAAAGTGTGCGGATTTTGTCAATCTATCCACAATCACCCATATAGAATCATAACTAGCCTGTGTTCGCGGCAATCCCACTACGAAATCCATGGAGATACTCTCCCATTTCCATTCAGGAACATCCAGAGGTTGCAACATACCAGAAGGCTTTTGATGCCCAATCTTTACCTTCTGACAAATGAGACACTTAGAGACAAATTCGGCAATATCTTTCTTCATACCAGGCCACCATAAATTCATCTTTAGGTCCTGATACATCTTTGTAGCTCCCGGATGAACTGTAAAATGACCCTTATGAGCCTCTGTCATCACTTCTTCTGCCAACTGCCTAGGTATAACTACACGACCCTGATATAATAGTATACCCTCATCATTGCAGGATACACCACTCTGACCTTTTAGTCGTCTAGCACTTTCATTTTGCAGTTGAGCTTCTTTAATTCTGGTCATCAGTTCATTCTCAATGCTTGTGATTTCAAAGCCACAAATTTTACATGGAAAGATTTTAGATAATTGAATATCTCTGAACCTCTCTATCACATCATAATCTCTAATCATCATGCTTGATATGCTCACAGATTTACGGCTCAGTGCATCAGCTACAACATTAGCCTTGCCAGGATGATATTTCAATTCAAAATCATAGTCTTTTAGGAACTCGGTCCACCGTCGTTGTCTCATATTCAGCTCCTTTTGATCAAACAAGTATTTCAAACTCTTGTGATCGCTGAATATTGCAAATTGCATTCCATACAAGAAATGCCTCCACTGCTTCAACCCAAAAACAATTGCAGCAAGCTCAAGGTCATGGGTCGGATAATTTTCTTCGTGCGGTTTCAATTGCCTCGATGCATAAGCTACCACCCGCCTATCTTGCATCAGCACACATCCCAATCCCTTCTTGGAAGCATCGCTGTATAGCTCAAATTCACCTTCCGGGTCGGGAAGTACTAGCACCGGAGCGGTCGTTAGTTTCTCCTTAAGGCTCTGAAAGCATTCTTCACATTCTTGTGTCCAAACAAATGGAGTATCCTTCCGGGTCAAACGGGTCAATGGCAACACCATGGGTGAAAATTCTTTAATGAATCTCCGGTAATAACCAGCCAAACCCAGAAAACTTCTTATTTCTGTTACTGTCTTGGGTCTCTCCCAATCAACAACTGCCTCTATCTTGCTAGGATCAATCGCTACTCCCTCAGCAGAGATAACGTGACCCAGAAATTGCACTTGAGAAAGCCAAAACTCACATTTAGAAGGCTTTGCATATAACTGTTTCTCTCTGAGAATTTGCAACACAGTTCTCAAGTGGCCTTCATGCTCTTCCTTACTCTTGGAATATATCAGGATATCATCAATAAACACAATCACGAATTGATCCAGAAACGGCTTAAATATGCGATTCATGTAATCCATAAACACCGCAGGAGCATTAGTGAGTCCAAATGGAATTACTTGATACTCATAATGTCCATATCTAGATCGGAAGGCAGTCTTCGGAATATCTTCCTGCCTAATTCGGATTTGATGATAACCCGACCTCAAATCAATCTTTGAGAAAACACAAGCACCCCTCAACTGATCAAGCAAATCATCTATGCGAGGGAGAGGATACTTGTTCTTAATGGTAACCTTATTCAACTGACGGTAATCAGTGCACAATCTCATGCTACCGTCCTTCTTCTTAACAAATATGACTGGTGCTCCCCACGGGGACACACTTGGCCGGATAAACTGCTTAGCCGAAAGCTCTTCAATATGCTTCTTTAACTCGGCTAATTCTGGTGGTGACATCCTATACGGAGCCAGAGAGATAGGCCCCACACCAGGCAACAGATCAATCGTGAACTCAATCTCTCTATGAGGCGGAAGTTGTGGAATTTCATCTGGAAACACATCCACAAACTCCCTCACCACGGAAATAGTGCCAATCTCCTCATGACTTCCGCCTACTAAACCCCCCACAAAGACATATCCCAATGCCCCGGCCCTCAAAGCCTTTCTAACCAACCAGTCCATACCCAAGATAACTTGAAGGCTGATCATAGGTAAACAAATAAAATCCAGCACGTAATCTCGGCCTTCATATTTGAACTCAACATCTTTACACAACACGGATGTATAACACTCCTCTCCAGTAGCAGTAACCACTTTCATTGGAGGGCGAATGTCATACATTTGCAAATTTAGCCCAACGGCCATAAAATCAGACATACAGGAGTGTGTAGCTCCTGAATCAAACAACACTTCAACATCCATATTATCAATGTAAATTGTACCTTTCACTAGATTCGGAGCCT